GTAAACACGTAACATACTTATAAAAAATACTGCCGAATTGAGAATCTCCTCCATTTTTGAAGTCGGTTAAAAATAAATTAATACATTCAGTTGATGATATTTTATAGCAATATGCACAAGTGACGAATTATCGGATTATCGAAGCGCCAAAAAAATCAGGACAGACTGATGCAGAAAAAATGTAAAAGTTGACTGACAGTCAACTGTGGCCATGGGACTTGTAAAGAGCCCGAAACGTTGGTTTGTTTGATAAAACAAATATATGCGATTTAAATCCGGAAAAATAGTTTCATATCCTATGTGTAACAATCGCGAAAACCTAAGAACTCGATATATTGTAAGCGTGTTTGCGTCCCATTGCTGGGATAACGCCTTTCCCTCTTTTTCCGTTGGTCGCGGTTTTGAGGTGCTCTTGAAACTGTCCAGTCCTGGAAATATCTGATAATGTCTGTCTCAGATATCAAAAAATAACTGGTTTACATAACTACTACAAAAAAACTCTTTATAAAAAGGTTCAGAAAACCATGTAGCGAAACGTCATCCAAAACTCGCACGTCTTCTCTTTTTTCTCTTTTTTTATTGTGATTATTAGTACTTACATTAATTTTAGTTTAATTAGATTTACAGTTGCTTGTAGTAAGCAAATTTAATAGCATATAATTATAACATACCAACGATCGCAGTTTTTATTACAATACCGCTATACAACATAAAGACGTGACGTGAAAGTAAGTACTATAGTAAGTCTATCAATAAATATCTCAAAGAAAAGTCTTTTGGGTTTGGAAAATAACAAATGAGTAATTTATTTACTATACGTATACTTTTTTAAATTTTGGCATTGCGTTATTTATTCATTTATTTTACATGCATAAGCTAGCAACTATCGTTACAGAACTAACGTAATACAATAGTGTAGCCAAAATTATCATTTGTTCAACATTATTAAGTACATTAATATTATATTCAAAATTATATTGTATCTAGGAAATGAAACTATTTTTTCCGGATTTAAATCGCGTATATTTGTTTTTTCAAACAAACCAATTTTAAATAGTATTGCACAACATGGCGCTACATTTCTTTGTGACGATGAGGTGGACGATGGACACCTAAATAATGCCTATTTACTCTCGCCTTGAAAAGGTCCGAGTTATACGTTCAGAAAATAAGTCTGCAGGCAGGGAATTCCACTCCACTGCCGTTCGCCTTATAAATGTGGAAGCGTAACGCTTCGTGCGAATCTTTGGAATATCCACAACATAGGAGTGGAGCCCAAGTCTGCGCCTAGTCCCCCGGTGATGGAAAGGAGAAGGCGGAATTAAATCGTGTAATTCTGATAAGCAGGCAACTTTATGGCGGTGTTCAAGGCTCTGCAGCTTCGCCTCCACTAATTCCGAATCACCTATAAGCCTATTGGCATGGTTGTCAGTTGAATTCAAAGTGGCCAGTTGGTATGTAGCAGAGCCATTCCAAGGGTGGCAGGAGTACTCCATGCACGATCGATTCAATATAAAATGTTCAATGTATATTATTAAGTGTGACAATGTCCTTTTGACACCTCTCCATGGAGAAGCCGTGCGCGGCAGCTACACAGAAAGCACTTTGAAATCTCACTGTAAACTCGCAATTAGTTTTTTGTGGTCCATACAGCGAAACGGGGTATCCCGTACTATTATATTCTGATATTCATTTTTCGGTAAACGCCTTTACTGACAATATACAGACGAGCATATTATCTAATTCACTAATATGTTTTATATAGCCATCAGTATTCCAATCATAGACTTATTTAACGTGTTCGTTGTATGAAATGACAAATGAATGATTTAACAAAGGTAAACGATTGTTATATGGGGAACCGTATACACACATCAAAAAAAGTTTGCGATCAATAGCATAAGCTCCTATAATTCTTTAAATTTAACTTTATCAAGAAAAAATCTATGTTGTATGCTTTCTTTAAATAGGAATACCCTGTTTGAAATTAAAATATAAAACTATTTTTTATTATTTATTTTAAAAAATTGAGCCAATAATCATAATGTAATAGTGATAGAAATTTCATAGAAAGAAAAAGACTGTTTAATTAAACTTAAACAACAATTTATTATTAAAAGGTGTGAATTCAATATAAAATAACTCCTCCCCTGGCTCGAATACATGCGAAGATCCTCCTGGGCATGCTGAGGATCAAGTTATCCAGCATTTCCTGGGGTAACCTATCCCATTCTTCAATAGCGGCTTCCCTGAGCTCTGGAACTGTCTGGGGACGTGGCTCACGGTTCCATGCTGCTCGTTTAAGAGCATCCCACGCGTGCTCTATTGGGTTTAAGTCGGGCGAGCCGGCAGGCCAGTCTAATCGTGTGATATCGTATTCTTGAAGAGCAGCATTGACTCGTTGAGCTCGATGTGCGGGCGCATTATCATCGACCAGTACAAATTGGTGCCCATGGTTTACTCGGAATGGTCTGACGATATCATCAATAGCAACTGCTTTGTACATGTCTGCTGTCATGAAGCCCCGATACGGGATCAAAGGCGTTCTAGCTCCAATCATAATGCCACCCCAAAAGGACACCGATTTTGCGCCTTGCTGAACTGTTCCAGTGGCAGTTCTTTGTCTTTCACGGTCGCCTGGTCTTCTCCAGACACGGACACGTCGGTTATCTGGATGAGTGCTGATTCGGGATTCGTCAACGAAGAGACAGTTTTGCCAAATGTTTTCGTCCTCACCTTCTTCATTTTGCCGAAGTCTAGCCCACTGCAATCTTCGTTGTTGACGTTGCCGGGAATTGAGCGGAGCTCGCCAAGAACTCCGTGCTCGTAATCCAGCCTGGTGCAAGCAATTGCGAACGGTCTGCGTGCAAACTTCAAGCCCAGAGGCGGCCCTGACTTCTGCTTTTATTTTAGTGGCGTTGATTGTTGGATCACGGGCTGCCAGCAATCTAATATAGCGCTTTTGGACAGCTGTCAAAACAGTTGGGCGACCGCTGCGGGGTCGGTCAGCTAAATTCCCCATTCCGTGATACCTCTGCAACGTAGCCACGACACAGGATTGGGATATAGCAAGCCTGCGTGCTATTACTCTCGTGGTGTATCCTTCTTCCCTCAAAGTTACTATTCTAGCTCGTAAAACCTCTGATAATCCTCTTGGCATTTTTTCAATCACAACTTTCCGTGAAAAATATCTTGAATCGCTTATAATTGACTAAATCAGATTTCTGAATGAGCGTAAGCTAGGACTGAAAGCCTTTTTATATGAAAAAACAATTGAACGGGGTCATTGTTTTATGTTCTAATTTATTTTTAAATAAAGAATCTAAAAAGAAGAAAAAATCATAATATAATCTACAGTAACAAAAAAGATTTCAGTTTTTCGAAGTGATCGCAAACTTTTTTTGATGTGTGTACGTTTATTACAATAGGATTTCGAAGTAATTATTAAAATTGTCATTTCCTAAGTTTAAAACTTACATTAAAATATTTTAATTAGAAGTCATATTAAAAAATTGAATACTATGTGTTAGATAAAGATGTACGGAACGACGACATGGGTCTTGATTCCACATAATTTTGATTGAAAGTGTATGGTGTATTGTAGAGTTTCTTGCTCGTTCTTCTCAGTGAAGTCAGCACAATGAACGAGCAGTAGCTTAAAAAATTACATTTTTAAGTCTTATTTATTTCACCTATGGAATAAATGATTATTCGGCTTTGACTGTGACAAATAAAATTATTTTTATTTTTAATATTTTTCAAAATTTAATGTTTATGTTATTTTATTTATAATCATAAACATATTTTTCAGTTTTTTGTAATTTATTTTCGTAAAAACAAAGCACTGTGAATTTTAAATAAGGCCCGTAAACCGTTCTAAAATTTAAGTTTATAAATAAATATCACGCTTACCCAAATAAATCCAAAAAACAAACTAGTTCACGTTCAATGCACCGTACACTGCAACTGCGAATGGGCAGACAGGCATTCAAACAAGCTTATATAATAACAACATAACAATTGCAGCAACAGTATTCAGATCCGTGTTCTGTGTATAGCAAATTTCAACCTTAAATGCTGAAAAAATAAAGTCCACTTTTCTATTTTACTGAAGTAGGTTTTTAACAATACGTAAGTCACAGTCTACGGCAATATCCAAATATAAATTTTGGACTCTATACTTTCACTAATAAAGAACGATTTAGCGATTTATGATTTTTAGTATTAGTATCTAGTCAAATATGATGGTTAAAAGAAAGTCAAAGGTATTGTAACGTAATAAAGTACATTTTTGTGGCTAAAGTTTTTGTTTCAAGTTTGAATGAAGTTAGCGCAATAGGGATATCCCCAGTGAATGTTCGAGGCTCTGTTAGTGTGGAGATGGATTTTGTTAATGAAAATTACACTTAGGCTGAAACTTAATAAACGCTAAAAGTAAAGAAACTTCAATTTTTTTGATTTTTATTTATAGATTAGTTATTGCTTAACTTTTTTATTATGGTTATTAATACAAAGATCGAGCACTTAGAAAAAATCCTTCGAACCGGCCGGATTCGAACCGACGTCTCCTAGCAAACCGTGCCAGACGCTATGCCTACTAAGACGATACCTACTATACGGAACGAACCGCGGACCTTACGAATTTTTCTATGTCCCTGTTATCGGATCTTTGTATTTGGTTTTCAACGACTTTTTAGCCGTAGCGCCATCTATGAGAAATCTATGAAAGTAAGTTTTATTATTTAAATTTTTATTTTGATTATGACTTGCAAAAGATATTACGAAATCGGAAACTATATAATACATATGATTACTTGTAAAACACTTAACAACCTAGTAGGACTATATTACTAACATTGTAAATGACAAACATTGTTCCATGAAGCTTTGGTAGTCTTATAGTTTAACCAACCGCATTTCTAGCAGACCCGTGGGTACAAATCTGGTCTCGCGTCTTTGAGTTTCTCGAAATGAATGAGCGAAATTTAATTTGAAATTTATCATGAGCTTTTCGGTGAAGGTTCTCCTTCATGATAATTTTCAGCGTGATGGAACCTGCATGTCGAAGAAGGTTCACACTCCTCGGAAAGCGTGTGAAGTCCCCAACCCGCATTGAAGCAGCGTGACGGTCTATGCTCTAAGCCCTCGCCTAAGAAAAAACCCATTTACAAACACAAACCAAACCCATAGTACATTGTGTATAAATGTATCCAGCAGTGTGTATAAATGTACTATCTGACACGTTTTAGATCTGTATTTGGTAGTAAGGTAGGAAGTTTAAACGTGCAAGCGTCTCTTCTCCGACGACCCCCACACTACGTTTTGCATCGGACTGGTATTTACGCAAAGCTTTCTTTTGTTACCGCACAGAGTTATCACCGTTGAAAGCGATCTAGTTAAATATTTTTATTTTTGTACGAAAGTAAAATTTGATATGTTAATAATATAGTCCCGCGAGGTTGTTAGTATTTTACAAACAACTCTATATAAAATTGTAGATTGTAAAAAGAAAGAAAATTCAAAGTGAAATAATTAAATAAACCTCATAAATATACGAAAGCAAATATACAAATGAAAATATTTAGGGTACGCCGGAAAACGTAGCCAGTCTCGTACAACAGATGCCTCAGTGCACGGGTCTTGTTGAAATTTACTTTAACTATATCAATAAAAGGTACGTTTCTATTCATAATTTTTGTTTATATTAAATATATTTATAATTCGTTTATTCCTTAACTTCGCAATTCTGCCTTGTCAAAATCCATTTTTTTTTTTAAAAAGTAAAAATTTGGTTTATGATAGATAATAATTTATTCCATAAAATGAACAGCATTGTACACACACTGTGTAACCAAAATACATTTATTTCAACAATTTTATATTTGTGAGAAAGTAAAACGTGATAAATTAATTTTTTTTTATAACTGACGGGACGAACTAGCCTTGCGCCCGGTGTTAGCGACACGCCTTTCCATAACATTGCAGTGCCGCTCAGAGCTTTAAATCGCAACGATCTGAGGATCACTGCCCCTGCGCTCGTCACCCTGTGTTGTACGTTGACAACTGCCTCCGTGGTCAAACGGTTACCATGCCACGCTGAGGTCCCAGGTTCGATTTCCGGGCCGGGATAAATATTTATATGGCCTACATTTATTTCTCTCGTGAGTTTGGATGTAATTTGTGGTTGTCTTTGTTTATGTCCATGGTACCCGCGACACAGGATTTCGCTAGTGCGTGGCTATGTTCAGAGTGGCGTTATTATTATTATTATTATTATAAAAAAGTCCTGTGTTTCTGTAATTCAATAGCACTTTTGCCCTTTAAAACCAGAGCAGAAATAGGTAAGGCGGCATTACTGCCCTCTTTGTCATAACTAACGCATTTGCATTTTGGTAACTTTCGAGATATCAGCACCTAAAGGATTTTTTTATTTGTAAATTGTCAATTACGCAGATTTTGCTTAACAATAAAACTGACACTAAATAAGATATAAAAAGACTCTTATTGGTGGTTGTAGATCTTGTTTCACTCATTCCAGATATATTAATAACTCTATTTCGAAAAAATGTCCATTACGTTTGTTACAATAATGAAGTCAGGGTACATCTCTAACTTCATCACAAGGAGCTTTACTTCTACTAAATGTACATTTACGACTACAACACAAACAATTTGTTTTAACAAATGCAAAACACAACATGTAGTAAACTCTCATTGTAGTACAAGTTAATAAACAGCAGGAATTAACAAATAAAATAAATAATTATTATATGAATAATAAAAACGAACGCTATAATTTGGAGTTTTCAAAGCGAGAGTGAATAGGCGTTATTTATATGTGTGTGTTACATCGTCGGCCACATCGTCACTTTCCATCAGATGAGATGAGGTCAAATGCGCACTTATACTTTACAAAAAAAGAGGATATCATAGCGTGCGATATGCTGTTACGGAATCCATCATCTACTCAGCCACGGTGAGGCAACAGACATTGGTTCGGGTCTAAATAAATAAAATAAATATTAGACTACATCACACACGTTGCTCCGATCCCAAAGTAAGTGACTAAAGCACTTGTGTTATGGAAATCGGAAACAATGACAATACCACAAACACCCAGACTGGAGACAATGTACAAAAAGTTTAAGGAAAAAACCCGGGACCTCAGAGATGGCGACACTATAAACACCAGTGTGCAAGCCTCTCGATCATAGAGGTCGTCGAATTAGTTGAGTATTTTCACAAAACTTATATACAGATTGTAGTCGTAAAACCATTACGATATTCAATAAAAATAAACATAATAAATAAATTTATTTTGCCATATAATAAGAAACAATCGCAACGATCAAACGAAAAGTCGCCATCCATACTAATATAGCCGCACGCTAAACCTTCAAGATCCTGTATCAGTTTCGTAATTCAGTTCATGGTAGCTGTATGGGTAATCCCGCTTTTGATGTCTTAAATAGTTTGCGAAACTAATATAGTGCGGGATTGGTACAGGAAAAACCTATGTTCCGAATTATGATTGACTATAACAAGACATCGCACCTTAAAATAAATTAAAAAAATGAAAATTAAAACTAATAGTTTCGAGTTCTCAGGTTTTTCCTTTTTCAGCCAGTTTCTCAGGTTCGATGGCTACATATGGTATATGGAGCAATCAACCAATATGGTGGACTGTACCTCTTCTGGTTAGGACCATAGTCCACCATACTGGTCCAATGGGAGATGAACCCCACGACTAGCAGAAGGCCGTATTTGAATTGGTAATGAGAGGTGTATGACCGAAAATGAATCATCGATATCATAACATTCGCAACACTGACCCAAAAACATACAAAGAATTATTACATAATATATACGATGTGTGTCCCATTCAGGACATACAAAATACACTCTAAGGTGATTAAAAATAGAGTTGCTATTAAGTTCGAGAGGAAATACTGGGAGCTAGGTCAACTTTCTATTGGGAAAGTAGTGGGGATTTTCTTAAACCGGATCTTATGTTTGCACGAAGTTTTGTATAGCTTGATTGTGATTTTTGGTACTTTAATAGCCTAAACGGATAATAACATAAATAAAAGATAATTACGATATCGCAAAATTTACGCCGAGAAAATATTACAGTATTTTAATTCTATTTCATAAAAACTCTATGTCAAAAAAAGACTTGTGGAAGTGAGATGTAAAAGAGGGGCCTTAAAATTGTGTGCCTTGTCAACCCAAAATTGTCAAATTTGAAGGCCCCCGTTCCCATATAGACGATTCCTTGTTTCGATCGGTCGTCACGAAATCGTATCGATCCATCGCTACTCTTCTGGCGTCCAGGTTAATGGTTAACGACATAAACGTACATTATCAATTCGTCGTTTCGTCGGAAGCGACGGTTAGTGAAGACAAATCGTCCCGTATGTGGTGGCATTTACGAGTACAATGATATTTTTTTAAGTTTAAAATATCACTGAAAGTTGTATAGTGTTGTTACTATTTCATCTCGAAGCTTGTAATATAAAAACAGATTATTAAGAAAACAGCAGAAATGCTTTGAAATTCACAAATGAACTCTTCAGGTTATATTCCAAGCAAACAATAGGGAGTTATTCCACATCTTTAATAAATCTCGTTTTGGAACGATGTTATTCAAAATATTCATTTTCATTTGACAATATTATATTTTCATAAACGAGGAAATGAGTTTCGTAACGGAATGTTATGGTATATATTATATTGTATAAATATATAAATTGAAACAAGACGAATTCCCACGTACGTATATCTTAAATGCTTAAGAAAATACAGAAAATATTTTTTATTTTTTTAACATGAAGAAGAAAGAATGGCTTCGAGACAAACCCAAGTAGGGTTTAACGGTGCTTTACAATATTTATGTACACTTTTTTCTTAAAACAATAAAATAAATAAATAAAAATAAATGACTGAAATCACAAATTTTTTGAAAAGAGTACTTGAGCCGAAAATAAAACCAACTAAAAACGTAAAATATGTCGTGTCCCTTGTGGTAAGCGACACGCCCGTCCTTAGCATTTGCAGAGCCCCTCATTGCTTTAAATCGCAAAGATCGGAGGGGCACTGTCACTGCCTCCGTCACTCAGACATAAGTTGACAAGTTCCATATGCCGGACATTTCATCAGCACTCTTTCAAAACTGGAACGCGGTAATGCTCGCGTTACTTTTTGACGGCAGAAATAGACAAGGTGCCAGTATTTCCATGGACGCACTCTTTCACAAGCTCTACTGCTATTAAAATTTTGACATGTGACAATGATAATAATTACTCTTGTTTGTTCTTAATTTGACGAATAAACTTGACAGAATCAGTTTAAGCGCCCAATTACACGACGAGAAAGTTGCGCGGGCCGCCGCGTTGACCAATTTCAAGCCAGACTCGCCCGCGTGCCCGAGACGCTAATTTAAGCTAAATCATCGAGTATATAACCAGCACAGCACGGAACAGCCCCCCGTAGTTAGAGATAATTATTATATTTATTACAATAAATACATAATATTTTCGAAATATAGGTACGGTGACGTACACATAGGTCAGTTGTTGGCGATGTATTATTTCAGCTTTCTAATTTGTGATTTCAGTGTAAACGAGAGTTGGTATTTAAGAGTGATATAAGGCTGATGAACTGATGAGTTGCCAGGGATGGATGGCCCTTATTTCGTCTCTATTTTTGGTTATATACTCGACGAGCTAAATAAATAGAACGTATTTTGCCATGACAGTTAGACGCACGCGGCCTCTCCGCTGTGTCGAATAAATGCGCCCTAACAGTGTGCGCGCTGTGCAGGTTATGACGCTGATTGTCAGTGGACAATTTAAAGAATAATTTATGTTATATTATTAAAAAAAATATATGAAATAAAATTATTATTTTCGGATCTTAATCGCGTATATTTTTTCATTGTCCCAGTCATTGGGAGTGGAATTCCCTGCCTGCAAACTTGTTCCCCGAAAGCTATAACTGGGACCTTTTCAAGGCAAGAGTGTATAGGCATTATTTAGATGTGCATGCTACATCCTCGACTTTCATCGTCATTTTCTATCAGGTGAGACGGAGGTCAAATGCGGTCTTATTTTTTATAAAAAAAAGTCAGCCGTAACCATGGCACCTATAAAGAACTCAAAACTTTGATATATTTGGAAAAAAAAAATATACGCGATTCAGATCCGAAAACAAAGTTTCTTTTCCAACGTGTACTAAACACGAATATCTAAAAGCTGGATTAAAAATTAATATACATCACGTATGTATATATACGGGGGTACGATATTAGATGCGCCATTAATATGGAGTGCCTATTATCGTGCCCGCGTCACCTGATTTGTAATTTACAAGAACAAAACATCGTTTTATAAATTTGTCTGCGTGTTTGAATGCTAAACAAATCAAAGCAAGCCAGAGACTATTTAAAGCGCTGCAGCCCTTTAGCTGCGTCACTTCTAATTTACATACAACATTTAGAAGCGCAGTTGCAGCGCCACTGTCGTGACGCGCAATGGTGGAATAAAAATTACTGAAGTGCTACAGACACGCGGCTGTGGGGTTTCATTCATTCTTTAATTGTTTCATCATATCATACCATAATCTGATATAATCTATAGTATTTATCTGTTCACTTACACAATTGATTTAAAATTAACGTCACTTTAAAATGGATAACTATAATTTGAATTTGAATTTATAACAGGCTTGTTATACTTATCAGTGTTTGCCTGGAAGTTTTATAGAAAAATAACAAGTATCAAAGTTAGACGGTTCTACTACAATATGAATGTTTACTCATTTCAACCATTAGTCACCGGCTTTACGTTAACTACGGTTTAACTACGGTCCAACACGTTTGTTATTCATAATGGCGTTGGACCGTAAAATGAAGTAAATTCTTTTTAATGACTTCCAGAGTTCTATGTGTACCCAATTACCTGTAATCACCCTTGGCCCCAGTTCTGTTTTAACTTGTTAATAAAAATGCCTCATTGATCGCGTAATTTGAAGTCAAGTTTGAAATTATACATGATCGAAACCCTTTTCTTGGATTTCAAGTTTTGAACTTCCGAATAAGTTTCAGAAATGTGTAGGGTTTTATTAGATGTCTCAGATGATCAAGGGCGCCTTCAAATTAGACGCTTAAAGAAGCGCTAGAGTAGCGCCACTATGGCGCTGCAGCCACTACTAACTTTCATACAATATTTAGAAGCGCAGCTGCAATTATTATTTACCTTAATGACGATCATATTATCCCTTGACATTATATTTCGAATTGTGATATTATGAAATTGATAATATGAAATAAATGATTCCATTCTATTCTATTCTATTCTAAATAACTTTTGATCTCATCGTCATCAGCCTACCGCATTGACATAGGCCTTTGCCAATGTGCGCCATTTCGCCCGGTACTCAGCTTGTCGCATTCATCTGCTGTTATTAACTATTCGCAGATCCTCAATCCATCTGGGCGTCCTACACTACATTTGTCCAGCCTGGTCTCCGATCGAGAACTCGTTTCCCCCATCGATTGTCGGTTCTTCTACAAATATGGCCAGCCCACTGCCACTTCCGCTTGTTGATTCTACTTTTAATCCAATTTATGTGATATACAATTTATAACTTGTACAATTTTTCTTTTGCAAGAGAGTCTATAAATATTTTTAATACTATTTTTAAAAAGAAGATCCTAAATATATTGAAAGCTGGCAATAACACAATTTAAAAAGAGCCCAAAGTGATCGGCTATATAAAATATTAAAATGGTGGATAGAAGCTAGGCTTAGGCTCCATGGTGACTACATGGTGATAAATTCAAACTCCTTTGCTTTTTTATATTGTAAACAAATCATTTTATACGTCAAAATTATTTTTTTTTCAATTAGTTCTAAAGAAAATGAATAGATACAAATCCTTGTTTTAACTTGAAAATTAAAAATAAAAAGAAACACACTTTTCTAAATCAATGTTTATTTCGTAGGTTAAGTACAGTTCTCTGATTTATAAAACAAATGCACATCGTTACAATTATATATAAATTAAACTAAATTACATAACAAATTATTATGACTTCTTCATATTACTATGACTATAAGATTCTTTTTTAAATAAAATCATAAATTCATTATATGAACAGAAGTATATTGGTATAACACATTAATTAACGCCATAATAGAATAGTAATTTTAATTACGTATATAAAAATAAACCTTAAAATAATATTATTTGAAAGATCATATCAAAATAACAAAAGTAAGCTATTTTAAAAATAAATAAATATTAAGTTTAAAAGTGATAAAAATTTAAGTTAAAATAAATTTAATACATTCATTCACACTATAAATTACATCCATGCATTTTTTTAACATTAAAAGTTCTATTTATATATTTAATATCATTTTTCATATGTTTTTTGGGAAAATACTCCACCAGTTTATTACTATTATTGATACAAAATATGACAGCAAATAATGCCGTTTAAACCCATATATAAAGATCTGTTCAAACACAAAGAAATTCGTAATATCTACTTACGTGATCTGTAGTTCAGTTGGCTAATAACGGTGGCCCTGTCATCGGCATGCCAACATACACTGGTTCGAGTCCAACCAGAACGTAGGAATTATTCTTTATGTTCGATTTTTGCATCAATAATAATAAAAAGTTCAGTAATAATAACTGTGAATACTTTCTTCTTTTAGAACTATAATTTTTGGAGAATAATTTCAGTTTTCTTTTGAAAAATTTTTTATTCGGAAAAATAAAATCTCTATAAAATAAACTATTTACATGTCTGGTTCAGAAATTCCATAAAAAAATATGTAATCGATTTCCTGAATCTGTTTAGTGAATAAAGATGGCGAAAGAGGTTAACGGTTAGTGACGTCGAAATGAAAATCTACCACCTAAATAGGTTCAATATTATGTGATCAACTTCTAAATTTACACAGATAGTTTTGTATTGAGATTGAAAAACATCTTCAGTATATAAATAATCGATAAGTATTCAATGAAATTGACATTTTTCTATTAATGTAAATTAATATAATAAAAAATTATTTTTCTAACCCCGAAGAAAAAATAAAAGAGCGCTCATGCCCGCAGAAGTTTTTGAAGTATTAAGTCAAACAGTAAGTTAAAAGCCTTTTCTTGTGTCTGTGGTATCTTAGTTTTCAAACGGAGGTCAGAGATCATTTTCTCAAAGTGGTTTTCTTATTTGGTATAGTCGGGATTTCAACTATGTTTGATGAATATCTGCACGCAGTTTAAAGATCATTAACTCTTTTCTAGTTAAGTTAGTGATCGCAACCATTCAATGTTATAAAGAAATTTTTAATTTTAAATTATTTAAATTTTATCATAGAATAAGTAATATGTTTTAGTGTGGAACCTTACACGTAAGGTTCCCGTCGTTAAATTTTACCCGGGTACCACAGCTCAACATAATTACCGCAAAACAGCAATGTTCAGCAATCATAGACACGAAATGTCATTTAATTTGTTTGAAAACTATTCCGCCAGACAATTCCGGTGACAACAGCGCTCCGATTGGTCAGCTCGAATTCGAAACAATTGACGGGTGCCTTTAAAAAATTACATATTTAATATTTAATTACCGATGAAATGCGATTCCGTGTGTTTTGTAATTAGATGTTTGCTGTTTTTCCCACACCACCGAATGGAACAGCCCCCCATACTTAGAGATAATTATTATCTTTATTACAATAAATACAGAATATTTTTGAAATATACGGAGACGTACACACAGGTCAGTTGTTGGCGAAGTACTATTTCAGCTTTCTAAAACGAGAGTTGATATTTAAAAGTGATATAAGGCCCATTTATTTGACGAGTTGCCAGGGATGGATGGATGGAGTCTGGTTATATACTCGATGATGAGACACAATATAGATGACGTATTAAGACCACACGGAAAATCTGTTATTCGACGTTAAAAAACAGAAATTCAAATAAAATAATGAAGTATGGGGCTCGAAATATTCGCTCCATAAAAAAAACAAAGTAATGCTAAATTTTTTGTTTTATTATTTAATTTCTTATTATTTTCATCTACGAAAAAATCAGTTTCATTCGATTGTTATAAGAAATATTTCAATGGCATTTTTTCTCCCGCGTTCCGTAATAAATACGTCAGATGAGTGCGATTTTATTGTTGTTAGAAAGAATATTTTATTTCTAAAAGGCAAATGTTGAATATCGTGTAATAAATTTTTCCGCTTCTAACTCACTCGCTTCAAAACTTACGCAACCACGATACCATTTCGCTTTAAGATCTTATGTCCCACCGCTGAAATCAAATTTGCTATATTAAGGATACAACCTTTGTAATGGTAATGCCTAGAAACAGCAATTGGTATCACTTTCCATCTACTGTACCTACCTGTCTGACGATTTGAACACGATAAATAAAATAAATGGAATTATAATTGAACAAGTACCTATAGGTTGAGCTTGCATTTTTTAACGATCTTAACTATATCGAACCATTAGGAAAGTATGTAAATTATATATATAGTATTATAAGAGTAAGTAGGGCAACTCCGGCTTGTTTGGCGTGTAAATAAATACTTACATTTCTTTCGGAGCCTAAGGTTGTTACCTATTTAGTTACTATTTAGTTATACCTACTGGTTGTAATCATAATTTGAAATAAATAACGTTATCGTCACAGTATTCTCGCGCTTTGAAATAACCTTTATTAAATGCAAGTGATGCTTGCGTATTGATATATTTATACTAGGATCGCGGATTTGTATCTTGATTATGAAGTATGATCATGGAAATTAGTAACAGTAGATCTCCTTCCCTGTTTCTGCCGTCAAGCAGTAATGTTAGCATTACTGCGTTCCGGTTTTTGAAGGGTAAGGGTGGTGGTGAAATTACAGGCACATAGGACTTGTCAAGTTACGTGTCAAGGTGACGGGCAGTGGCAGTGTCCCTGAAATCTTTGCGTTTAAAAGCTCTGAACGGCATTGCAACTGCTATGGACAGGCGTGGAGCTTACCGCCAGGCGCACGATTGTTCGTCCCGTCATTTGATATTATAAAAAAATGAAATAAAATTGAAATGCCGAACAATTCTAAATTTGAGGCACTATTGTTCAAATTACCACAATCAATGAACACGTCTAAGATGTTATTTTTTAAATCATGAACCAATGGCTTCAATTCTATAATTAATGGCGTGTGTGACGATGTGTATGCAAAGCGAGTGCATCGCGATATTTACAAGTCGCACTGCTACGTTTGTATGGAGTTAGCATACTTGTCTTATTATTATACTATGCCATTAGTTTATCAAACAGCCTATAAAAACACAAATAAGTCGGCGTAGAAATGCCACGTGCCGATATAAATTATATGATACATGGTTCAATTTATAGATCCCAGAGTCCGAAATAAATAAAGATTATTATTACAATAGAATACGTTGACAGTAGGTATATCTACAGCATTAGGTCAAAAACCGATCATAAAAACTTGCTTTAAATGCGTTCGTAAATTCGAAAAGACGCTCAGTCAATTGATTTTCCTCGTTGATTCGATGTCTTCGTAAATTAATTAGTATTTTGTCGATATATCTGAAATAAAACAATATTGATTATTAAAAACAGAAAGAAAAACATTCGTAAATGCAGTAATGGAGCAAAAATAAACCTAAACCTTAGAAACATAATAATTCATAATAAATTAAATCCTAACAATTCTTTCTATTATCAATACATTTAAGTAGCAGTAGAACTCCCTGTGAAAGAGTTCATCCAGGGAAGTACTGCCACCTTACCTATTTCTGCCGCCAAGCAGTAATGTGATCAATATTGCCTTTCCGTTTTGAAGGGTACGGGTGCTGGTGGAATCACAAGCACATTGGACTAGTCAACTTGGCTCAGGGCGGGCGCAGAGGCCAGTGCCCTTCAGATGTTTGTGATTTAAAGCTCTGAGTGGCACTGCAACTATTATGGACAGGTGTGTCGCTTAGCACCAGGCGTATGACTTGTTCATACCGTCATGCGGCATTACAACCGAGAGTATTTTTTACTCTCGCTAGTGAGTGACGATACAATAAAAGATTGGTGGGGGCATTTATACAATAACGCCTAGAGTGTGCTGTTGCGGTTGCCACGTTTCTTTAATGCTTCGACCATGTTTATGGAAGCACGTAGAAAGTTCCGACGTGATATGGCGTATGAAAACGGCCTCACTTACGGACTGAGTACCAGGGCAGCAGTAACAATATTGTGAAACAAACAGCTAATAAGGTCCATTGTCTTTTAATGTGGAAGCTTACTCAAAGGTAATATCACTTATAATAATTAAACACTAATATAGGCTTAGAGCAAATGACACAACCGGGGACACATTATATTATAAAAATAAATTTCATCCGGTTCCAGTGATTGATAGGGATCAGGCTAGGGTAGCCATAAGAAAACATCGAAAAAAAGGAGAGCTTCTCAAGGAATATAGCATAGTAGCGCATGCTATATTAATTTTCATTATTTTCGGGATAGACAGATATTTTTTGGGAATATCAAATTGTAGTATCATAAAAGATCTTTGCGCAGAAGGAAAGCTTGAGTTCTATTTTACACTTTTGCAGTGGTAGCCCAATGGGAGAACGGTTTCTCCTTAATTGTGAGGACGGCAGTTTGATCCCTGAGGCAGCGTGTACCTATGATTGTCGTGTCTAATTTTGCGAATATTTAGTAGCTGTTATCATTCGCTAACTTTGCAGGAAACCATTGCCAACCCTTGGAAAACGTGTGAAGGCTCTAATTTATTATTTTTATTTATTTATTGAGTGTGCGCATTATTTAATTACAATTAGGTCAGCATGGCGGAATGCGGCCTAAATCCTCTATTTATCGAAGACCGAAACTCAGACATAAGAGGAATAATGGGTTGATGGTGATACCTTCTCCTGTATAACCGAAATCAGTAGGAGTGAATCAGACTTAATTAGTACTTTACTTTATTTAGTAACTTTTTGACGTGCGTCGTAATCAAGAACTAATTTACAGCATTTCTACCGCCAGGGGTAATCGGTTACTTCAAGTTCTGCAAGTCGAAACTGACGTCACCGTTTGCGTCCAATCACTATTCTGGCCCACGTTACAAGGAATACCCTCCACCACAATCTTTTTTTTATAATATCCAGTGACGGGAAGATTATGTCGTGCGCCTGGTGGTAAGTTATACGCCTGTCCGTAACAGTTACAGTGCCACTCAGAACTTTAAATCGCAAAGATCTAAGGGACACTGCCACTGCGACTGTCACCCTGAGACATAAGTTGACAAGTCCTATGTGCCTGTAATTTCACCAGCACCCTTACCCTTCAAAACTAGAACACAGTAATGCTGATATTACTGCTTGGCGGCAGAAATAAGTAAGGTGGCAGTACTTCCCTGAACGAACAAGGAGCTCTACTGCTACTAAATCTTTTGAAAAGACGCTCGCACTCAGCAATAGGACATGTTATTTGTTGTTGAAGATGATTATCACTAAATCCTCCATTATTATTGATACAATGATAGAACAAATACAAACAAAAATTCCTTCGATCTGGGTGGATTCGAACCAACACTTGTTTGCCAGACCGGGGCTAACCGCTCTCTCAACTTATCTAAGGAACGCATCAACATGCCTCATGAATTTCTCCATATGCTTGTTGCCTTTGTTTTTTATTTAAACGATTCTTTTGCCGTAGCGCCAGGTATCTTTACAGCTACCGATGCCTGACAAGAGGTATCGCTTTACTAATTGCATTATTAAATATAATTTTATTGAATATCATGTTTTTTATTTTATTTTTTATTACAATAACATTCATATTTTTTGCGAAAATACTCCACTAGTTAAGTGTTATTATTGATACGAACATTTATTCAAATTTCAAATTCAAACTCAAATATTTATTTCAGATAAAATCCATATAGAGTTAGTAAACCAAACAACTTAAGAACTAGTGTTAGTATTAATATTATTATAATTTGAATGACTACTTATACATTTAAGATAGTGTGGAGCTCTATCCACCTACGCAGGAGTGGCGAGTCCCACCGATCTTTAAACACACACAGGATGCCGTTGGAGCTATCACGGAGGCGCCTTAGCGCAGATGCACACCTTTTCCTCATGATGGCCATGAAACCGTCCATCTGAGCCTCGGCAAAAGTGCATCCCCGATGCACTACACCTCCACGGAAGCCATATCAGCACCCTGAATGCGTTATTATATTGAACACGCAAATCGCTGAATGTCCGCCCCGAATACGCGACCCACAGACTGCACGTGTACAGCACTTGACAGTAGGCTTTAAATAGTGTAATTTTTACTTGTTTAGTACAACGTGCAAATCTGCGAACCAACATATTACAGCGAACAGCCAGCGACCTGCGCTCCCTCTCTATGTCACAATTGTCATTGAGATTCTCCGTGACCCAATGACGCAAATATTTAAATTTCGACACCCTGGACAAAACTGTACCACAGAGTGACACTTCTAGTAGTTGTGTATAGTTCATACCAGCAGCCTTAAATACCATGAACTCACTTTTCTTAGCATTATATTTGAGTCCGTGAGGCACAGCGTACGCCTCACAAGTGCGTAACAGCTTCCTTAGACCACCCATTGATGGACTCAGCAGCACCATGTCGTCGGCATAACTTATATTATTGATGCAAACACCATCGATATGACAGCCCACCATTGTGCTTCTGAGCTCATCCATTAGGTGGTTCACATAAAGAAGAGGCGAGGCGAACTCAGACCACCCTGCTTCACTCCGCACTCTAATGTGTACACATCAGAGTAACAACCGTCCCATCTGGCACTATTCTTCTGACTACTGTACCAATATTTAAATAATGAAATGACTTCAGGAGCAACGGTGGTTTCCTGCTGAAGCTTTTGCCACATGATGTCATTTATAATACACGAATAAAAAAATGATATTCAGTAAAATTAATATAATATTATTGAAGAAGCTGAAGTCTTTATGGATTATAATTATGGTATTAAAAGATAAACAAACCTCTAATTACGGAATTTTCTCGCTGTGACAAGCTTATTAATGTCATGGTAAGCGGCAATCATAGTATGTGCAGGTGCTGCATTGGACGTGCAACCAGAAAACAATCGCATACAATCCGCGCCTTCTTGACCTCTCCGGGCTGCTCGCATGTAGCGGAAGAACCGTAGAATTTCTGGATTGTCGGAGACTGGTCGCCGTAGTTCGTTTAGTTCACTGAAAAAATATAAATGGGAATAATTAATTTTAAAGCTCCGTAACATTCTTTTTTTTATGATACCAAGTAAAGGGACGAACTCAGAGCTTTAAATTGCAAAAGTCTGAGAAGTCACTACCATTGCGTCTGTCACCCTGTTTACAAGTCTCATGTGTTTATAATTTCACCAGCACCCGTAAAACATGAACGCATTAATGCTTACATAACTGCTTACTGCTTCCCTGGTGTAGAGTCAAATTTCTGTCTCTGTGTAGTATTTGTTGGATGTGATATATGTGTTACTGTTTAGTATCCTCTTGTGTTGTTATTAAAGCTAGCTGGTAAGGGAAAGGGCATGAAGTGGTAAGGGAAAGCTGTAACTTATCACAAACAAGCCTATGTTAGAGACGAAAGTTGGGAAAGATAAAGGGTGCAAAGGAATGGATCTTCCCACTACCAGTCTCACAGTTTAAGACCGACAGTGTGACGGCTAAACTCAAACAAATGAACGAAGGAACTCTTTCACAAGGAGCTCTCCTACTAGTATTATGGATGTACTTTTGGTATAAAAGCGGATAAATTTCTTTGTTTGTTGCCCGCTTTTGTCTACTACTTCGTAATTTGTATTCAAGGAGCACTGGAATAAGTGCCTTTAGTCTCGATAGTGACCTAGAGTAGGGGTCAAATATTGAAAATTTATAGGAAAGACCCACAGCCGTGCATGCAAATTCTATTGCCTTACCACAGAATATCTAATAGTAAAGAATGCTCGAAATTGCCTATATGAATTTATTAATATATAACAACGTTTTGTTTGTCGAGTTCTTAGGTTTTCCCGATTGTTACGCATCGGAAACGAAAACTGTGTTTTCGGATCTAAATAGCGTATATTTGTTTTTATTAACCGACTTCAAAAAGGAGGAGGTTCTGAATTCGACTGTATGTTTTTTTTGTATTTTTTTTTGTATGTATGTTACGCGAGAACTACGGTATCTGTGTACCGATTTTCATGATTCTTTTTTTGTTGGAAAGGGGGTACTTCCATAGTGGTCCCATTTCATTTTGAAGGAAATCATCCACCTTTAAGGGTGGCTGTTCACGCATGAAGATTCATTTTTATAAATAGCGCGTAAATTTACTTAAGGAGCAATTATGTTAATGGTTGATTTTGCTACTTCTCCAATTCAAGGCGTTTTTCTCTCAATATTCTTTGAGTAGTGAGACCTGTTTTTTATCATCTCCAGTGTCAAGTCCTGTATAGTGGCGAATTTAAGGATATTTCAATAAAACTTAGCAAATAGACGTAATTCCACGTCTTTTTGAGGTCGGTTTTTTAGTACTCTGTACTGAGATTATTTGAAATAAATCAACGTTCTGAAGCTTTTACAGTTACATCTCAGTTAGCGCGTTTGTGTACTGGATCCGCTATTCGTATTCGTTCCGAATCCGAGACTGTGCAAGTCTAGAAAACTCGGTCCCACTTCGGATGTCGCTTGTGCACTAAGTCCGATTCGCATCGGAATATAATTCGAATATCGCTTATATATATATGTACACCTACAGATAAAATGACACTTCAGACATCTGTAACATTTCGGACCGTCATTTCTAGGATTCGAAACTCATACGAATCCGACGTAGTGCGCAAACGCTCTTAGCTGTGACCATGGTACTTGTAAAGGTCCCGAAACGTTGGTTTGTTTTAAAAAACAAATATAATAAATAATATACGCGATTCAGACCCAAAAAAAAGTTTCATTTCCTGACGTTTAGTTTTTTATTGTTATTTTATAGCCATTTTCAAGTTTGTTCTGTCACTTCTTGAGATTGCTATCTAACAATAAGGCCGCCTGTTGTATCCTGTCTTTTGTCTTTTGTTTGTGTAAATTATCCCATTGTATGATATAAAATAATTGCAAGTGCGAGCCGAATTCCATCGTAGGCGCACTGGAGAAAGTCTATGTCAAAGTCCGTTCCTCTATTTTGCCTTTATTTTTATTTATATTATTATTAGACATAATACGTGGAAACTTGGTACCATTTTAATTAAATTTCTAACTAATTTCGTTACGGACCTTTTAATTTTCGTTCCGTTCATCGCATACAAATTTCCGTGAACACAGGGCGTGATTGAGAAAGGTAAATTTATTTACCCACAAGTTTCGCCTTTCATTTGCGTATCATGTTGTATGTTATTAATGAATAGTGTACAAATTGTATTACTTTAGTAAATAGTGTAACTTTAATCTTGCTGCTCGGATAAAAAGAATATATCAATGTACTCGTATTATTATTGAATATTTTTTGATGTACTTTGTGAATATTATCCATTAAAACAGACACGTGAAAATTAAGCCAATTTGAGAACGACTTGTCTCTATCGGCTTCGCCCATATCATGGGAGTTTTAAATCGATATGACAATAATATAGTATACCAACTGGTAAAAGTAAATGTATAAAAGAAGACGGTAACAAGTTAGTTGTTTCTGTAATGGATTTGGATTGAGCTTTGCAATCCTAATTAATCGGATATCCGACTATGACTTCTTTTCGGATCTAACAGTACAAATCGACACCTAAAATGAAAACTACGCCAACTTAATTTTTGGACCTGTAGTGCGATTCAGGTAAGTTCAAGCTATCAAAATATCGTTGAAGTTACGTAGTCGTTCGATCGAAGTCCTGTTCAATATTGGTATTCACGTATCACTTGTACGAACGTTAATATGAATAGAATTGAAACGTAACGACTAATGAACGACACCTTGGATTGTGAAATTTGACTTTTAGTCGTCGAAAGTCTATTGAAAGACAGTTCTTTAAAATAATTAGAAAATTTTGACAGTTGACATTCGAATGTTGCACGTGAAAACGAAAAAGCAGTTCAACGACTAAATTGCTACGATATCATAACGGTTTGATTACGTGAATTACCCCGCTGTTCTGTTTTTATTTTGTTTATTGTCTCTTTTATTCACGAAATTCGGCTTTCCGTTTTGTTTTCTAATTTTGTTTTCGTTTCTTTATTTTTTTTTCACAAAATTCGAGGAGCATAATAATAGTAAATAAATATGGCTGTTTAAAAAAAAATAACAGAAAATTATCAAAAAATAAAGTTCACACCAAATGGTTTTTAAATATAAAATTCCTGTTCCCATATAAAAAAAAATCTGACAAAATAAACAAGAGCTCCTTTCATTCTTGCGATAATGGCAATTCTTTTTTTTGTACAAGACGAAACAGTAAACTACGAAAGACAAAAGATAGCCCAGTTTAATATTGCCATATAAATTACCGTTTTTACTTAATATCTGTTAAAGTATTGACATTGTTGCTCAACACGCACACACACGTAGTCTACTAGGGAAACCCTGTGTCGCGCGTGACATGGAAACACACTTAAACAACTACAAATTACAACCAAAGTCGCGAGAGAAATTAAACGTAGGCCGTATAAATATTTCTCCCGGCCCGAAAATCGAACCCGGGCCCTCTGCGTGGAAAACCAGCATAGTAACCATTCGGCCACGGATTTAAACTACTGTTTCTACTACTATTGTTGATTTAGAAACTCTACCATGTTGTCTTTCGGTTTATATAGTTGGCAGACGGGCGTTTTATGTACTGGTTTTATATATATATAAGACGGCAAAAGATCAGACGAGCCACTTGATTGGAGGTGGCCATTGTCGCATATCGATATTTGCAACATCAGATGAGCTGCCTATGCGTTGCCAGTTGCCAGCCTTTAAACACGCTTTTTGAAGAACACCATTGTCATAGCGCAAAAGAAATACTTCTTCGATTATTATACGGATAAATCGATATCTCTGTACCTCCACTCTATTGGATGGTAGTGGATATTAATTTTTTTTTATAATATCAAGTGACGGGGTGAAACAAGTCATGCGCCTGATTGTAAGCTACACGCCTGTCCATAACAGTTACAGTGCCACTCAGAGCTTTAAATCGCAAAGATTTGAGAGGCACTGCCACTGCGCCCGTCACCCTGGACACAAGTTGACCGGTCCCATGTGCCTGTAATTTCACCAGCACCCTTACCCTACAAAACCGGAACACAGTAATGCTGACATTATTGCTTCCCTGGACGAACTATTTCACAAGGAAGTCTACTGCTACTATCTGTCATATGTGTATAAATGTTGCAATTATCTTTTGTTATTTTCTAATTGGCTTGTCAAACTGCCTGTGAAATTAACTTTGAGCGACTTTACGGATCTCAAGCCAATTTCCTGGTACCTCCATTTAACGGTATTAATTATATAATTATTATCCTATTTCTTCGAACCTTTTGAGCTGACGTCAGTTACGTCTCTTCTTTATATTTGTATAAATTTATTTCATTTCAATTTGTATTGAATTGATATCCAATTATTTTTTGTGAAATTACAATAAGCACTTACAAAAAATTCCTTCGATCCGGCCAAATTCGAACCGATGTCTTCTAGCAAACCGTGTCAGATGCTATGCCAACTAAGCCACGGAACGAAACACGATTTTTTTCTATGTGCTTTTTCTTGGATCTTTGTGAACATTTAAAATAAATGTGAATAAAAGTGTATAATTTACAAATAGCCCCGTAGTTTCTTACTGAATCTTTCTTTCTGAATTTCTTACGATGCGTCTGGCACGGTATGCAAGAAGACGTCGGTTCGAATCCGACCGGATCGAAGGAATTTTTTCTGAGTGTTTTTCTGAGTGTTCGATCTTTGTATTAATAATTATAGCAAACTAGTGGAGTAATTTCACAAAAAATAATTGAATATCAATTCAATAAAAATTTAATTAATTATAACAAACCTCAAAAATTCGTGGAATTACATCTATTTGCCAAGTTTTATTGTTATCGGTTACCGGAAAGTGCGCGAAACTGGATTCATCCCGTAGTTTAGTACCCGCTTTCCAACAAAAAAAGAATCATCCAAGTCGGTTCACAAAAGTCGTAATAGAAGAAGAAGGAAAACAAAGAGTAATTGCGTAACATACATACAAAACACGTACAGTCGCATTGAGAGATTTCTTCATTTTAAATCGGTTAAAAATAATTAAATATCATGGATAATGAAACATACTGTTATTAACTTAACACTACAAACCATAATTTCACAAAAAATTTTGATCGAGTGCGTCTTTTTCCTGATTGTTATCCCATTGACTATTATGCCATAAACTTCACATTGTATTCATACGTTAGTGACTATAAAATGCGTAGGTACACACGGATATAGCTTCCCTTGGTTATTGTCTTAACATAAAGCGATAGATAATTCCCAACGCGTTGCGATTGGCGCAAGTTAAAAGCGCGAGATTAAGTTTACGAAGTTGCACTGTCACGGACAAAACTTAATCGAATGAAGAAACTAAAAAATGTAAACCGTGGTAGCCCAATGGTTGACTTTTAAAAAAAATAGGTTTCTCACAGAGGCGCTACGGCAAAACTACGGCAAAAAAAAGAGAAAACTGACGAAATACTTTCATACTACGTCTAAAGTAGTTGAAAACCAAATACAAAGGATCCGACAACAAGCACATAGAGAAATTTGTGAGGTCCGCTAGTCCGTTCCGTGGCTTAATTGGCATAGCGTCTGGCACGGTTTGCTAGGAGACGTCGGTATGAATCCGACCGGATCGACGGAATTTTTTCATTCGATCTTTGTATTAATAATTATAACAAGCTAATAGAGTAATTTCACGAAAAACTAGAAAACTGACATGAAAATTACACCTACGGAAAATTATAAAGGTTGCGACAAACAAACTAAATTGCATTGAACTGAGGCTAACTATACCAGTATACCAGTATAAGGCAGTTAAAAACTTCTTAGTTGAACCACAGAAGACGTAAAGGCGACAGTTAGGTCCCTTATTGTTGTACGACTAAATAATCGCTCTGTAATCCATATGTAATATGATGTTGCTATCACACGTATAAACTAACGGGGCGTTTTTGTTTGCCGTATCGATTTTATATAGATGTTTTTGTATAGCTATACATACCTTACTCTGTAGTTAAGCTAATTGTAAGTGGAATTCTATATATTTCTAACACTACGTAATACATTTAAGTCGTATTATGGCAGTCCATAAATAAAATAATTATTTTAAATGCGAATAATGTGAACATAATATCAGTACTGAGTACTAAAAAAACCGACTGCAAAAGTTAGTAGAATTATATTACAGGGGATTCTGCCTTACTAACGTAGTGCAGTTAACTATAGTAGTGTTTAACTCACGGAAGAAAAAAGCAATGGAAATGCCTTGAGCCTGGATTACAAAACTGATGCTTTTTTGTTAAAATTAATTTGAAATTTTCCATGAGCCGAAAATTTCCATTCACCGAAAGTGAAAAAAAAAAAAACATGGCGAAGAAACGTGCATACATCTACAAAGCAATTTCATAATGTGTGTGAAGTTCCCAGTCCGTATAGGGCTCGCGTGGGAATTACATCCCGAATCCTTGCATTGACTATAATATTGGCTAACCATTACTGTATCGGTACGCTATGATGGCCGTTTCGACGTTTGTCCGCTCATCAAGTTTCATATTAATTCATAACTACGTTGAAGGAGCTAATTGATGTATGTGGTTGTCAATAGTGACGTGCAGTAAAATTTATGGAATGTATAATTTTGCGATACAACTCGGCATTTGTTTTTCGAAATTTAAAAAAATTAAATCTAATACGATCGTCACTTATGGGATCGCTGGTCAGCACAACGTCTACCCTCGGCAAACTCGCGTCAAAGCTCAATGCTTTTGCATTGACATGCAAAGCAGTTTCGCATTGACGACATATTAGGCAAACATTTTTATTTTCGTTTTATTAAAACTTTTTAATCAGCTACCCCTTGCAATACTAGTTATAAATCTAAAAACTTATGGATGCGACTCGCATTAGATTGTATTTTTTCGATAATGAATTGAGATTTGACCTTACATTTGCAATCTGTTAAAACGGCAATCATAGCGTGCTGGTACTGCAAGTATAGGACAGTTGCAAAATTTTGCATATACCTATGTATAATTTGTGTCATGTAGTTCGTTTAATTTTTCCAACTTTCATGTGATAAAAGCACTTTTGACATATGCTCATAATTATGTGCCTTTACTATACTAAAAGTAATAAATTTGGAGCGAAGCTGCGTCGTACGGCATATAAATTAGAACTACATGCCACACGGGCGCTGCCGCATGCCGGTGCGTTGCGATATCGCAACGCGTGCACATCGGACAAGGCGACAGGCAATGAAGCGGGGAGGAGATATGCTAGCGGCGGCGTTACATTGCGACACCGCACCCCTCGTGTGGCATTTGGTGCGTTGAAATCATAACGTTGCGACGACGCAACGCCCGCGTGGCATCGCTCTTACAGTGATACTAGTTAACTCACCGGCTCAGTTGCGCCGACACCAAATTACTGTACGGCGCGTACTTCGCAGGACTGGAGTACATAAGGCAGATCAGCTGTTCTCTACATGCTTCTAATTTCACGTCGCTGAGGCTCTGACCGCCAATGTTCATGCCGTTGCTCTCTTCGATTCCGTTCTCCGATGGGGTTAACCCTGAAATAATAATTTGTAAAATTGCTGATTCACCACCCTTAAATAAACATTATATATATAGGCATATTATTATATCGGCTTGATTAGGTCAGAAAAAACTTAAGATTTTAATAAAAAAAAAATAGTTGTTGTTCACGTGCACGTGACGTAAACAGACAACCTGACCGGACATTTGCTAAGTGATGACAATAGACTACTCAGCAGTGCAATGACCGTTCTGAACTAGGCTGCTGAGTAGAGTACTTAACTTTATGTATACATTTAAAAATAATATTGTTTATAGTCACACACACTTAAATACCGTTTTGTATAAATAGCTTAAGTTTTGTAAATAAAACTCTCTTTGAATTCAGACATCAACGCTGTCTTATTGACAACGGAGCACTCCTGACTACAGCATCCTCTCACTGCGGCCAAGACACCTTTAGCCGTTAGCTTATCTGATCAGTCTTGTGAGTCTGTGAGACTGGCAGTGAGAAAACCATTTCCTAAAGCACCCTTATCCTTCCCCCTTTCCGTCTGTTGCCTTAGGTCGCACGGTGACAGGCTTCCCCTACTATTTATATAAGTATATATTCCGTAGCGTATGGTTAGGGCTAGGCTGTTAGGTAGGCAACTAGGGTTGTTAGTGATAGTACAGCTTTCCCTGACCACTCATGTATAGCCAGCTAGCTACAGCTAGGTAGTTGACTGTACAGTTGTAATATAATATAAAGTAATGGAATATAATGTAATACATAAACAATGATTAAAAAGTAATTACAACATTTGAAAATGGAACTCTTTGGCTGTAGAATACAGTTTGTTTCATCTGACTATTACTTGTTTTTACATTGTGGCGTCATTTTAGAAATTGGTTGTCTACATCACCATGTATTTAACTCGTGAAAATTTTCGAAGTATGATTTTCTACGACTTTAAGTGTAATTTAATAGCTTAGCGTAGCTTCGCTCGGCTTCAAACTGATTTTGGCGATGAAGTACCATGCAAGGTGATTATTTATAGCTGGTTTGCAGAATTCAAACGCGGTCGTGTGAATCTCAGTAACGAATTTCGTTATGGTCGCCCGTCCACTGCTGTGAACAACAAAAACATCGATGCTGTGTGTCGTATGATCAAAACAGACAGGCATGTGACGTACCAAGAGATTCGGGCGTCTTTATGCATAGGCATATGGGCGTCTTTATGCATACATAAACATTTGGGTGTGAAAAAGCTGTGCTCTCGGTGGATCCCACACAATTTTACTGAGGCTCAAAAAGCGGATCCTCACACGGCCAGATAGACAAATGAATTTTTGATGGTGAACAACGTTGACCTTATGAACCACCCCGCGTACAGTCCCGATCTGGCACCTTGTGACTTTTATTTATATCCAAAAATTAAGAACCAGTTACGCGGTCAACGATTTTCATGATCTGACGAGGCTGTCGAAGAGTATGAAAAATATGTTTCAGAGATTGTCACGAAGGAGTGGCATAAATATTTTCAAAATTGGTTCATTCGCATGAACAAGTGCATTAACGTTAACGGAGAATATTTTGAGAAAGAATAAATTCATTTCTCACCATTTATAGTATTTTTTCTTATTAATTCCGGAAACTTATAGTGCACTCCACGTATAATGCAGTATAACGTAACATGACATAACGTAGCGTAGTACAGTGTAATACCGTGTATTTTACACGAATTTTTCGAATACAAATAAATTAATGACATATTAATTATTAGTAATATTCCCACGTGTCTGGTAGCATATTTGCCCTTTAAAACTGAAACGCAGTAATGGTCACATTACTGCTTAGCGGTAGAAATAGGTACGGTGTCAGTGCTTCCCTGGAACCCTATTGCTTATTTGTGTTACACCATATACTTTTATATCTATTTACCTCTTTATCAGATATTTCTCAAGTTATAAATAATTTAAGAAAGCAATTTTGCGAACGTGTTTTCGGCTAATTTATTCCAACCGCCAAAGGTAACTTTATTGAAAACAATTTTTCAAGTTGTGAAAGTTTGATGTATTTAAATTGAAATACAATATTCATTCGGTAAAATATACAGGTCGTACCTTAATTGAATTTGTATTTTAATTACACCCAAGGGGGGATTTTGTGATTTGATTTAAATAGATTCATTGTGAACTTGTCTTTGATTCCTGATCCTTGTTAATTTTAATGCCACGTTTAAAGAATCACCAACTCTTAGCGCACGGGTTTTTTATCTAGTTTTCGTGTTGGAAGCTCATATTTTACTTTAATTATGTTTTACAAGTTGGATTTTTTTTTGTAACTAATACTGTAACGTGTTTTTTAACCGCCGACGCAAAAAAGGGGAGTTTGAAGCCTTTGTTTGTGTCTTTCTAGGGCATCGTAGTTCCCGAACCGATGGACTGATCTCAAAGCGCTTTTTTAATTGAAGGCAAATTTCATCGGGAAGGCCTTTTTTATCAAAATATGTGCCCATTTCACCTGATGGAAAGCGACGATGAGGTCGACGATGTAGGATGCGCATCTGAATAATACCTATTCACTCTCGCCTCGAAAATGTCCAAGTATTAGCGTTCGGGGAATAAATTCGCAGGTAGGGAAATCCATTCTCTAGCTTCTCGCAATCACATTTAGTGAAAGCGAAACACTTCGTGCGAATCCTGGGATTATCCACAACATAGGGATGGAATCCCAGCCCACGTCTAGTCCCTCGAAGATGGAAGCGCAATTAAATAATGCAATTCCATCCCTCACTCTCCGTATTATATCCTGTAAAATACGGATAAGCAGGCAACTTTTCGTAGGTGTGCAAGGCTTTGCAGTTTGGCTGCAACTAATTCCGAGTCACCTATAAGCCTTTTGGCACGCTTGTCGATTGAATCCTAGGTGGCCAGTTGGTGTTTACACTTCTTTTGGCTCTTTGTAGTTTGTGTGTGGTTTTTATAATTAGTGATAATAAAGCACACACTCATAGCCCCACACTTGGGAAACTCTGTATCGCGAGTTGACTGACCATGATCATGGGACCAGGTCCCATGGTCATGGTCAGTCAACTCGCGATTTACAGGGTAAAGGGCCCGAAACGTTGGTTTATTTGAAAAAACAAATATATGCGATTTAAATCCGGACAAATAGTTTCATTTCCTATGTGTAACAATCGCGAAAACTTAAGAACTCGATATATTAATAACTTTTTCTCTGGAGATTCTTCTGAAATAGTGTCTAAATAATTAGTTACCCCGTAATGAACATTCATACCCTCTCGACCCAAACATGAAATTATTATATATTAATATATATTTTTATGATATCGAGTGACTGGACGAATAAATAGTGTGCTTGGTGGTAAGCAACACGCCTATCTATAGCCATTGCACAGTTCAGAATTCCGAAATCATAAATATCTGAGTCACGTCAAGAGATATAAGATTGACAAGGCCCCTGTGCACGTAGTTTCCGCAGCACTCTTGCCTTTTATAACACGATAATAATGCTCATATTACTGCTTGGCGGTAGAAACAGGTAAGGCTTCTCCGTTGAACTGCGAACTTTCCCCAGAGAGATAGAGTAGTTATTTCCAAAGAATAAATACACTAATCAACCACTTGGTCTCAACTATTACGTATTCACGTAGCTATTTCGTAATTTCATTGTGATACGGAAGTTTTTAGTAGTACCTACTTCCTTTGGCGAACTCTTCCATAAGAAGCAGTACGGCTACAAAAAATATGGATTAGTAGGTATTTCTAGACGATTCCAGAATGCTAATTATTGTAGAATGCAATGTAATATTATGGTTGAGACGTTGAAAAAATATCCTATCGGATATTATTTTTATTTTTGTGTTAAGCTGATTATTATTAAGGGATGATCTTGTTATCTGATTAATCTATTAAAACAAAAAAGTGTTGTTAACGAAGATTATGCGAAATAGGGCCTTAAATCTTTTCTATGCCAAAATATATCTAAAAATATTTTACAATGAGATCGCACGGACTAAAATAAATTCTTTCTTAAGAGTCTATACTACCCCAACTCGATTTCAAATTTTTCCCTTTCTAATACGGTTCATTTTGCTTGGGCAGGGACACTGGCATTATTACAGGATTTTTATTTTTACAAACGAAATTAAAACCATTTGAAAAATGTATATCGTATAGGTCACGTGTTTTTTTTAGTTCAGTTGACATTTAAAAAATCATGGCGTATGCAAAGTACCTATTGAATACAGCGGTTTTTTTTTTTGTAAAATTTCGAGGTAAGTTTGCATTTTTTTAGAAAAAAAAATGATGATATAAAACATATGTAGTTGTGTTTTCACACCGTATACTAATCAGTGTCACCGTATACAATCCTCAAGTTTACTATATATTTTTTCCAAAATGATTGGGTCCACACTTTCACAGTTATGCGGAATCACTCAAGGCCATTTGAGGTAGTTTAGACTCATAAAGTGAGGATTTTTAATCTATGGAAATATTTGCCTGTTCATATGAATCTGAATAAGCTAGTAATGAAATCCATCCGGGCATTAAATAAAGGAAATATGTTTAATAATGAGAAAAGAAAAATCTGCCTTTATTCCATCTATCCTTCTCCTTCAGTTGCAGTAGAGCTCTTTGTGAAAGATTTCGTCTATGGAAGGACAGCACCCTTACTTATTTTTGCTGCCAAGCGGTAAAAAACATCAGTTTTTTTTAAATAAAAGAAAAAAGTATCTTCAGATGCGTTCTGAATTTACACCTCATCAATTTTTATTCTTGCTTGTACTTTTATTTTGTGTGATTGAGTACATAATAATTTTATAAACACATTTAGTTACCATTGTCAATTTAATGTCAACAATGATAAGAATAAAATATACCAATAGATTTATATTACATAAGTAAATAATGTTCGACAAATGGCGTGATTGAACGTATCATTAACTTTTTTTTTCATCGAAAGAAAAAGTTATGTGCACCACAGTTCATCGTCAAGGTGGTATTTCAAAAACCTTTTTCACGCTAG